TTATTCTATTCTATTCCATTCCATTTTCTATTCTATTTTCATATTCTATTCTATTCCATATTTCTATTCTATTCCTTATACTATTCTACTCCATTCCATTCCATATTTCTATTCTATTCCATATTCTATTCTATTTTCATATTCTATTCTATTCCATATTTCTATTCTATTCCTTATTCTATTCTATTCTACTCCATTCCATTCTATTCCACATTTCCATTCTATTCTATATTCTATTTTATTTTCATGTTTTATTCTATTCCATATTTCTATTCTATTCCATATTTCTATTCTATTCCATTCCATATTTCTATTCTATTCCTTATACTATTCTATTCTACTCCATTCCATTCCATATTTCTATTCTATTCCATTTTCTATTCTATCTTCATATTCTATTCTATTCCATATTTCTATTCTATTCCATATTTCTATTCTATTCCATATTTCTATTCCATTCCATTCCATATTTCTATTCTGTTCTATTTTACTCCCATTCTATTCCACTCCATTCCATTCCATATTTCTTTTCTATTCTATTCTGCTCCCATTCTATTCCATATTTCTATTCTATTCTATTCCGTATTCCATTCCATTCCTTCCATTCCAAGAAGAACCAAAAACTCCAGTTTGCTTCTTGGAAGGAAAAAAAAGCATCTTGGGGTCAGCCATGCCCTGGATGATCGAGAACCTCCAGAGAACATATCTCAAGATACTGTCAACCGCACAGATCTGAAGCATACATCTCTCGCGGGAACCTCCGGGACGTTGTTGAGCATGCCGCTGATTTCGTGAAGGAGGGCATCAATCCGCTGCTTCCTCTTCTCCTTGAGGGTCACCTCTTTCAACAGCTCTTCGATCTGCAGATGGGAGAGAAAAATGCAAGAGATAGAGGTCATTCATGGGGGAGGGGGGGCGTCAAAATGTTCTGGATCTCCCTTTCGTTATAGGAATCGCCCTTCCAGTTCCCCCTGCCAAAGTTGCTTTGACTGTGATCTTGGGAGAGTTCGAGTTTACGCCGTTTACGCATGGATTCCAAGCTAGGTCCCCGCTTGACTCCTCCTCCCAGTTTCCCAACCCGAACTGACCTGCAGGCGCAGAAGGTTGGAATGGAACAGGTTCTCGGTCTCCTTGAGGTGGCTCAGCTCTTCATTGGTGGGCACCTTGTACAGCTCACTTTTGCCCAATTTCACCGGCTGCAAGAGGCCTTCGGAAGAAGAGGCCCGTTTCTTTCCCCGTGGCTTCTCTTCTTTAGGGATGCCATTTTGTTTCTCTTCCTTCTCCGGACCTTTAGTTCCCTCGTCACTTTCAGGTAACATCTGCAGGTAACAACAACAACAACAACAGCGAAGGGGATTATTCGCCCCCATAAAGATTTTGTCTTTTAACAGTCCTGCTACCTGGTCTGGGATGGTGGGGGAATGAAAGGATTTACACTCCCTGCAGACAGCTGGTCATTTGTTAAGGAGATGAGAAACTAAAGGTCTTCAAAAGAAAAAACCAGACAGTCCAGTTGCCTCCAGAAAAAGCACCTTTGGGACAACCACGACCTGGAGGACTGAGAATCTCTACAAGCTTTTAGCCATACAATTTGGGATGAAGACCCTTGGAATGGTATGGGAGAAGGAATGGATTTCCAGAGGGAAAAACTGCAGACTACGGGAACCAATTGCACCACTCAGGTGACCCTGAGGACAGAGATAAACTTCCAAGAGGCCTCAAGGACTCTATAAAAGGATGCAAACATCCAGCTATCTGCAAAGAGTATAAATCCTTCCTTTCCCCATCATCCAGTCAGAGATGAAGAAGCTTCTGGGATGGGAGGATCTCTACAAACTCTTAGCTATGCAATTTGAGATGAAGACCCTTGGAATGGTGTGGGAGAAGGAATGGATTTCCAGAGGAAAAAAATTGCAGACTACAGGAACCATTTGCACCACTCAGGTGACCCTGAGGACACAGATAGACCTCCAAGTGGCCTCAACAACCCGCTAAAAGGATGCAAATGACTTATAAGATATGGGGATGTTTTTATCATTGGATAGAAAATGAATATGCGCAAAAAGAAATAGAAAACTGAATAATCGGGGGGAGGGGTCAGAATTAGAGGGGAGGAGTTGATTTAAAAGGTAATGAAATGTAAAGGCAAGATAAACATATATACTAAAATGATGTATGTTGAATATAACACAAAAACTGTACCCAGATGACACATTGTAAGATTAATGATGTAAGAGAGGTGGTGGAAAAAGAAAATAAAAAACTTTTTTTTTNGGGGGGGGGGGGACACACATCGCACACACCCCTGTGTCTAATTTGGGCCTAGCAAGCCTCCCTGAAGCCTTCTGGGACCAAAAATGGGCTGTGGGAGGGGGGGATACACCGGAACCCCACCCCTACCCCCCACTCATGCCCCATTTTGGGCCTAGCAGGCCTCCATGAAGCTTTCCGGGACCAAAAATGGGCCACAGGGGGAGGGCGCACCCCGCGTATGCACAGCAGAGACCCGGAAATCAGCTGACCGGCAGGAGGCGCACGTGCAGTAGAGCTGAGCTGGGGCAACGGCTCACCTGCCAGCAGAGAGGACTCTGTGTGCCATCTGTGGCACACGTGCCACAGGTTCGCCCTCAAGGGGCTCAATCCCCCTCAATCATTCATCGTGATTTCGTCTTGAGACCCCAGGCGTGGCCGGCAGTGTGCTGCAGGAGGATGGGATTACAATGCTGTGGCCTCGTTAAGTTCCTGATCTGAATAGAAAACGAGCCACCTCCTATATCCGTGATGGACGAACCTATGCCACACGAGGCCAAAGTGGCGCACGGAGGAGCCATGTTGCCTGGCGTGCGCGACGTCACCCATTCCTCTCCTGGGTTTCTGGCGCGCATGCGAGCGTGGCGATCCGCTGGCCTTGCAAAACTACTTGGCAATGAGGTCTCTGGCAGCGGGTCAAGGGCGAGAAAGGCGGGTGCTTATCAGCCTCACTCTGAAAGACTGTTGCAGACTTCTGTAGGACTCTTTACAGACTGATTGTGAATCCTTACGGGCTGTGAATGAACATAATTCACAGCCATTTAAATTTTTAAAAGGGGGTTTGGGACTAAGCGGGTGATTTTTACTGTCCCAGGAAGCCTCGATCAGAACAGCTTTGGGGATTTTAAATTTCCTGAAGGTTCTTTTCCTGGGTCTGTTAGTCCAGTGTTTCTCAACCTTGGCAACTTGGAAGATGTCTGGACTTCAACTCCCAGAATTCCCCAGCCAGCATTCGCTGGCTGGGGAATTCTGGGAGTTGAAGTCCAGACATCTTCCAAGTTGCCAAGGTTGAGAAACACTGGACTAACAGACCCAGGAAAAGAACCTTCAGGAAATTTTAAATCCCCAAA